TCTGGAAGTACCCGAGACAATCTTTATCCAATGTTTCAGACAAGCTCAAAAGATGGTACTACATGCATTTGAGTTACTTGTCTACATTTGAGTGCACAACACTGGTTCTTAAAGGTGCTCTGTGCATAGGTTTGTTTTCCCCTGAACCTGTTAATGAAGAAGAAGATAAATATCCATGAAGTTGCTAAAGGCTTGGTTCTCAAACTGGGACAAAGGCATAGTACACCAACATCATTACATTTCCATAACTAATTGGAATGATTACATTAAACTAGGGGTGTAATGATTCACCAAATTCATACAATAAAGTGGTCTCTCGATTTCCAATATGGCAAAAAAATAGCTAAAAATTACTGATGATAATGAAATCATCACATTTTTAAAGGATGCTTTTTCAAAAGATTTGACATTTTTGCAGAGCATTTAAATGACGTATGTCTTTTTCTTTCAGTTCCGTAGCTGTATCATGCAGCTGTTTGGAAAGAAGGTGGAGGACGCATCAGAGGTTTCTGGCTCTACCACAGAAGTGTCTACAGCCTCGTAAACATTTCTGCTGCTCCCTACCGCAGAAATACATATCAGGATCACACATGGACTGCAGTCATTATCAGCCTGCACTGTATGCTACATGCATTATGGTCACTAGGCATAGCTCAGCACCATAAAGGAATATTTTTATTTCTTATCAGGACTCCATGATAGTGGCTATGATGTAATTTATCATTAAGTGTGCAGGGTGTTCTGACACATGCTCAAATGTGCTCCTGGTGTGTTCGCTTTGCACCCACACCATTTTTCGATATGCTGGAATTCTGCATGCGATGTTCTCAAACCACTGACCTCTGCTACTGAACAGCTGAACCAGAAATGAAGGCCGGAAGGGGTCCCACACCCCTCCTTTTAGTATCCACAAAAGACATTCATAATGCCAATCAAGCTCTGTATCGGTTATCAGTTATATATGACTTACTTGAGCGGTTATCACCTGGCGGGAGTGCTGGTGTAAAAGTTTAGGTTTAGAAACAGATGGCCTAACCCTGTCTTTGCACCTATTGAATACTATAGACTAGATATGCATTTTCAAAAAATGAAAAAAAAAACCCCAAAACAACTGTATGTGCTATATATGTTTCTTGTTTTTCTCTAGCAAAATAAAGCAAATGTTTGCAATTCAATTCACCTTTTTCCTGTTTTCCTTAACACCCATATATACAGTATCTCACAAAAGTGAGTACACCCCTCACATTTCTGCAAATATTTTATTACATCTTTTCATGGAACAACACTAGGATATAACTTGGATATAACTTAAAGTAGTCAGTGTACAGCTTGTATAGCAGTAGAGATTTACTGTCCTCTGGAAATAACTCAACACACAGCCATTAATGTCTAAATAGCTGACAACACAAGTGACTACACCTCACAGTGAACATGTCCAAATTGTGCCCAATTGTGTCTTGTCCCTCCCTGGTGTCATGTGACTCATTAGAGTTACAAGGTTCCAGGTGTGAATGGGGAGCAGGGCTGTTAAATTTGGTGTTTTGGGTACAATTCACTCATACTGGCCACTGGATATTCAACATGGCACCTCATGGCAAAGAACTCTCTGAGGATGTGAGAAATAGAATTGTTGCTCTCCACAAAGATGGCCTAGGCTATAAGAAGACGCACAAGAAAGCCCACAAACAGTTTGCTGAAGACAAGCAGTCCAAGAACATGGATTACTGAAACCATGTCGTGTGGTCTGACGAGACCAAGATAAACTTGTTTGGCTCAGAGGATGTCCAGCATGTGTGGTGGTGCCCTGGTGAGGAGTACCAAGACAACTGTCTCTTGCCTACGGTCAAGCATGGTGGTGGTAGTATTATGGTCTGGGGCTGCATGAGTGCTGCCGGCACTGGGGAGCTGAGGTTCATTGAGGGAAACATGAATTCCAACATGTACTGTGACATTCTGAAGCAGAGCATGATCCCCTCCCTTCGGAAACTGCGCCGCATGGCAGTTTTCCAACACAATAATGACCCCAAACACGCCTCCAAGATGACAAATGCCATGCTGAAAGTAAAAGTGATGGACTGGCCAAGTATGTCTCCAGACCTAAACCCAACTGAGCACCTGTGGGGCATCCTCAAGCAGAAGGAGGAGTGCAAGGTGTCTAACATCCACCAGCTCCGTAATGTCATCATGGAGGAGTGGAAGAGGATTCCAGTAGCAACCTGTGCAGCTCTGGTGAATTCCATGCCCAAGAGGGTTAAGGCAGTGCTAGATAATAATGGTGGTCACACAAAATATTGACACTTTGAGCACAATTTGGACACGTTCACTGTGAGGTGTACTCACTTGTGTTGCCAGCTATTTAGACATTAATGGCTGTGTGTTGAGTTATTTTCAGAGGACAGTAAATCTATACTGCTACACAAGCTGTACACTGATTACTTTAAGTTATATCCATTTCTATAGTGTTGTCCCATGAAAAGATATAATAAAATATTTGCAGAAATGTGAGGGGTGTACTAACTTTTGTGAGATACTGTATATATGACTTTGAAGACAGTTGTTGCCCAACCATTACCAATTTCTCAGTGTAAATAAGGGTCTTCTGACAACATATAAACTCATGGTGTACCACAGGGCTCTGTTCTAGAGCCTTTAACGTTCTCCCCTTATTGACAGCCCCTGAAAAAAATCTAAAAACACAATGTTGGCTAAGACACTGATGATACTTGTATCAGCTCATCATAGCTATATGTGTCAGCACAGCTAATTTCATTTACACCATTGGAAATATTTGAAGATTGTGTTAAATTAATTAGTGTGCAGATTTTAACTTTACCCTTTTATCGTTAACCTAGACCTTAATGGTTTTTAGTGCAATCAAAAGCTACAGCTAAAGATCTTGCTGCAACACTGGATGCTAATTCATCTAGCATCACATCTGGATACGTCATACCGCTGATTTTACATATCTGTACTATCTTTTGTAATGAAGATTACATGTAATAACCTGAGAAATAATCAGTATAAGACACATACCAACCCTACACAATGCTGAGTAATTAGTCCACGTTTTCATATCAGCTATATAAGAGTACAGTAATGTGACTGGTTGCCCTGTTGTCTCTCTCAATGAGCTCCAACTAGTTCAAAATGCAGCAGTCTGCAAACTAACCAGAAAAGGAAAATTTGCGCCCATTACTGTGGTCTTATTCAGCTTAAACTGGCTTCTTGTTAATTTTCACAACGGAAACAACAGGTTGAAAAGCAGGACTTTAAACGTAATCATTATATCAAAATATTTCTTTGTATAATAACACAGAGTATCAAAACTAGAAGCCAAAACCAGTTTATTTCTGAGGCTTTTGGAGGCTAGTCAAGTCCATTGTTCTGCATAAGTAACAATTCTGTTATCTAAAACTGTATATTGACCGAACAAAAAAGTTTGCTCAAACAGCTCAAACAGTGTCCTCCTGCATAAAGAACAACCTACAGACGTAACGTAATTTTCCCAAGTTACCGTAACGTTTTCTCCGGAACAAACAAGGCTGTAGTTTGCTTCTTATTCACCAGCAGTTTATTAGAATGTTCTGCTTCACCTTAAATGGTGCAGCAGTTATATTTTGTCACCTGCACAGTACAATTTGAATCAGAAGCTGGTAAGTAGGTATTAAAATAAGAAGCCAGCGAATAAAAAGCTAACTTCAACTTTGTTTACCTGTGTGTTTATGGAACAACTGAGAAGCAGCTTGCTTTGCCTAAGTGTAACATTTTATTAGGTGCCCACTGACCTTGACTGATTTTGGTTGTTTCTCTCTCAGAGACATGCTAAACATGTTTGTGTGTGTGTGTTATGCCATCGGCTACCTGCATAGAGTGTTTACTGTTGACACAGTGCTCAGCACACCCATCACACTGTGTTATCCCATGAAACTCATGTGTCAAAGTGAGGAAAGACACGTCGATTAATAAAAGTCTACTGATGTTTGCCTTGAAATTTTTGGGCACACTTACCATACAGGAGCACTCTGTGGTTCTACAATTACAGACTGTAGTCCATGTGTTTCTCTGCATACCTTATTAGGGCCCTCTTATCTTGTGCTTCAGTGGTCAGGACCCCCACAGGGCCACCACAGAGCAGGTATTATTCGGGTGGATCATCCTCAGCACTGCAGTAACACTGACATGGTGGTGGTATGTTAATGTGAGTTGCGCTGGCATGAGGATCAGACACAGCAGTGCTGCTGGAGTTTTTAAACTACGTTGTCCACTCACTCTCCACTCTATTACACTCCTACTTTGTCAGTCCACCTTGTAGATGTAAAGTCAGAGATGATAGCTCATCTGTTTCTGCACAGTTTGTGTTGCTCATCCTCTAGTCCTTCTGCCACCTGGCAGGAATGGGATTCCGTAGTAAATTCAGAAAGCTGTTCAAAAACATTATAGGGAAATATTACATACTATTTAATTTACTATTACTACTAAGCATAATTAAATCACAATACACAGTCTAGCCTCATTTACATATGTTACGTGCACTTCTACTAGCATTTAACACCGAAAAGCTGACAATAGCCCAGTGTTTGTTTTAATGTACCATCAGGGGATGAATTAGTTTGCTGAAACACTATCATGGTTTGGAAAACAAAATAAATAAAATGCAGTCAAATGTATATTTGGCATGAATGGAGAAATAGAGCTAAAAGCTAATAAACAGAGACCCCCCCCCACCCCCTCCAGATTACTGCAAGATTTCTGCTGTAAACGTACACATAGCTGCTTTGGACATACATACATGGTTTTTCGTCCTTCGGTGTCATCTCTGCAAGGTTCCATGCTTTCCATGCTGGTAACCTACAGCCTCTTGGACTTGTAACCCATAAACAGACATACACACAAACATAACCATGAAATTCCCATCTCTGTTTACATACAAACACTCACCTTCAGAGAGTGTGTGTATTCATGGATTTGGGTTTTTTCCCATGGATCGGTAACCTACAGCCAACTCTATAAATACTGGTACCAGCCTTCAAATTTTCTTTCTTTCTGGACAACCACGCCACAATCAATCCATCCCAATTGTCTTGCTTCTTTTTCTCTAACCATGACAGACTCCTATGTGTGTTCTCTTTGTGCAGAGGAGCTCCGGGACCCCATCACCATCCCCTGTGGAGACACTTTTTGCCTTGAGTGCATCAAAATCTACTGGGACCAGGCCGACCATGTTGGTGTCTACAGCTGCCCCCATTGCCGGGCCACCTTCACCCCTCGGCCGGTCCTGCGTCGGAATGTGCCCAACGTCGGTCCCCGTGAGCCTCCCTCGCCCTTGCCGGAGCTCGCACCCTTCCCGTACCTCAAGCGGGAAGCCCTATGCGATTTCTGCACAGGCCGGCGGAACCGGGCGGTCAAGTCGTGCCTGGTGTGTCTGGCTTACTACTGCGAGACGCACATCAAGCCACACTACGAGTCAGCCACCTTCAAGCGGCACAAGCTGGTGGATGAGACTGGCCACCTGGATCGCAAAATCTGCCCTCAGCATGAGAAGGGCCTGGAGCTGTTCTGCCGCTCCGATCAGATGTGCATCTGCGTGCTCTGCACAGTCAGGGAGCACCGCAGCCACAACACGGTCAGTGCTGAGGAAGAGCGTGCCGAGAAGCAGGTGAGAAACCATAACGGATGAGGCTATAGACTATCTGACTGGAGGTGATCCAAACCTGCTCGGTTGATTTAGTGCTTTATCTTTGCGTTTAAGGTGCATGTGGTTGAACATGCTACCATTTACCCATATATGGTGGGGTCACAGAGAGTCTGGGACCCCTTAATTAACCCTGAAGAGGTTCCGTTCCAAAATGGACAACCAGAGATTTCAATGTCAAAAATAAAATGACAATGCTTCAAATGAAAAAGTGTCTAGCATTAGCCCTGCTTAGCTGAATGAACTGGCTATCAGCCAACACCAGAGTACAAACAGGACCCCATGATCACTGCAGATCACCAGTGAGCAGTACAGTGAACACACTGCAGGAGTCCAAAAAAGCATAATAAGAGCGTAACCTCTGTCAGGTTGGATAGGATGGTCATAACATTGCCTTCACCCTCTTGGTGAAATTGCATGAAGGGAAAGTCTAAGCTAGTGGGTGAATTTTTGCCATTACTAAATTCAAGAGAAAATTGAGTAAATACAAAATAGAGTTAAAGAGATAAAGAGTTTAAGATAAAGTTTAATGGAAAAAATTACTTAAGTTAGTTGCATGAATGCTAACTGCTGACTGAAGCTTGAACCCATTTAAATTAACTACAGCTCTCAGTTATGTGACATTCCCGACACATCTAAAACAGTTAAACAGCAAATTCGCGACCACCACCTGCTACTTTTTAGAGAATGCAAGGTTAACTTTAACGGAGAAGTCTGTGGAGACTTCATAATAGAAGAAATGTCATGGTCTGTGTGGTTTAACTTACGCTTATGGTTCGTTAATAATATAAAATGAAGCTTTTAGCGTCAAAAAAAACGAAAAAACAATCGGTGAATCAACTGTGAATCGAAACTAAAGCTTTTAACACACATTTCTGTGGAGCAGCGTCTCCAAAATGAGCTCTGAGTTAACAGTCACACAAGCTCTGGAATGAGACGCTGCAGAGGTTCAATCTGCACAGCTCCCCTTTCTCGTCTCGCTTGCAGTGTTTACTGTCTGAGGATAACACCGTCTCAAATCACTCAGTGTCCCCTACATAGAGCGCTACTTTTCAAACAAACACGATCATCATTAACAAGCAGTTGAGTTTTAAAAAGGGGATTTGTAACCTGTTGTTAATGTTGATTATAGATGACTTAGTCGAACATTTCACGCACTCTTTGGGTGAAGGATTTGCTATTTCATGATCTACGAAGTGCACTACATAGGGAAGATAGTGTGCTTTGAGACGGGACCTTGCGCGAGTAAACGCTGTGTGCTGCTTTTGGGAAAAGCAGAGTTTCAGAGATTAAACTTTAGGAGTGTTTCTGCCGCAGCTCAGATGCATGTTAATTTTAAGTTATGTTTTAGTTTTAAAATGCTTTTAGAGAAGCAGCTCAACAGGTGGAGACACACTGTGTGAGTTCTACACTGTCTGCAGCTCACAGCGCGGTCACGCAGTTCCTCTGTGATTTTGGCTGTTTTTCCTGGTGCACTGTGTTGATTAGGGGTTCAGCGCCACAACAGCACAATAATGCTGCAGTTGCAGTTCGGACAGAAATCCCCCGAGTGCAACACTTCTTACAAGTAATAATTTTCCATTAAGGCCCACCTCAGAGTTGGTGAAGATTTAATTCTCTATGCAGGGAAATCCCTAATTATTGTAATTAATAATAATAATAATAATAATAATAATTACAGAAGTAATAATAATAATAATTTACAACAGTAATAATAATAATAATAGTAATGGTGAAACGAATTTCAGTTTGTGTATCAGTATGTATTTATTTATTTATTTATTTTACTTTTCAACGCTTTTGAACAATATCGCGATAATATCGATAATCGTGATAATTCTGGTCATGATAATCGTGATATGAAATTTTAATATCGTTTCATCTCTACTCACATGCACAAATGTCTTTCAGAAAGTGCTGGTGGTGACCCAGTCTGAAGTCCAGCACATTATCCAGGAACGCATGAAGGAGCTGCAGGAGCTGAGACATAATGTGGAGGTTCTGAAAGTGAGTAATACGTCTTTATCCAGTGCTGCCACCTGGTGGTACAAACAGCGTTCAGTGGAAACAGCTATTCCTCATTTGCAATGTGAGTGTATGATGAATAATATTAAATAACCAGTGTTTTATTTATTGCATGCAACCAACATAAGACGTGAGCTGTATTTGATACTTGGGTGGATGTATTGATCTTTGTGTTTTAGTAGACCCACAGAACAGTAACTGGGTCTTTATCATCTTTTGCTTGAATGTTTTCCATACACATTCAGGCCAGCGTGAGACATATAATGACCTGCTTGTGTCGCCTTATTCTGTAGCACAGTTCTACCCTGCACACTTAAAAATGATGAGATTGTGATGAGATTGTGTAGGATTTATTCAATGTTTTAATTACAAACCCACAAGCCTTATTTGAATACACAACTAAGCAAAACTAATGCTAAGATGAATTAAGATTTATCTATGTTCATATATCCATGCCCATCATTATTAGAAGTCATTGATTTGTAGTTGTGCCATGCCAATGTAAGGAATTCCAAATTTAGGTAGTTTTTCTCTATGAGAAAAATGAATGACATTGTTGAAAATCACTGCTACCATGCCTTGTGGTAAACAAAACTGCTCCAAAACTGAGGTGTTTTGCTACACTTACATTTCCCCCCATATATCACTGGATCCTCAGGCTGTTATAAAGTCAAAATATGAATATTGCTACATGCAGTCTAGTTTCACAGGGCCAGATGCGATCTCACAACAAGAATACATGTCTGGGGACAACCTGTTAAACTTTTGGTGCTGGACTGAGGTGAAATCTGCTGCTAACAAATCTGCCGCATGTCCCCACCCTGAAATTCCTCTAGTCCAGTGGTCGGCAACCCAAATGTTAAACAGAGCCATTTTTGCTCTTTCAATAAAAATCAAACCACCTTGTGAGCCACAACATTTTATGTCCATTTTACGATCTTTGCTGTAAATATGTCTCAGTATGAGCTAATGTACTAGTACAAGCTAAAAAACATAATATAAATGAAAACATAGACTAACTTTGCTCTGCTTTAAGCTTTAGCTCAGCTATAGCCGCTTTTCTCGCATCTCCGGCAGGAAACTTTTTCTCAAAAGTAGAACAGTTTCTTGTCTCTCAACGTTAGACTTTTTACTGGACTGTAAAGCCACCTTCTCCTTTGAATTTTCCCTTTCCACCTTAAAAGGTGAAACAGGTGGAACAGGAAAATGCGATTAAGAAGCCGACTTCAGCTTCATGACTTTTTAGTGTTTGACAGTTTCACATTGCAGATTAAACATATCAGGAAACCAGCTGGAGCGCTAATAAACACAAATAAGTCCTTTTGTCTCCAAATCATCGATGCTCGTTTTGAATCTTTCTCTTTGCCTTTTTGTTAGTGACTAGCTAGGCAAGATTGTTGTCCATGTTGCTATGGTGACCAGCAGTCTGCGCACAAATCTTCAGGGTTAAAGGGTCAATTAGCAGTTATACATTAACTCCAACACTTAAGACGATTGATGAAACTGTGTTTGAACGATCAGCAGAGCTTTATTTTGCTGCAAAGGAGGATTATTTTATTTTTACCTAAAAATCTAATTCTGCTGTGGAGCTTCAACAGGGCAGTAAGAGAATTCAGAATTCAATGATAGCACAAGCAACACAAGCTAGCTAGCAAATCACTATACGGAACTATTTTTCTCCCGCAAGAGATAATGTTTATGTTTACTGCATGTGATGTGATCTCTGCACACACGCCACACCTATGCATGCTCATGCTGGAGTTGATGGGGGACTTTCCAGTGATGACAACTAACACAACATTCACAAACTAAGAACAAGCTTGTTGTTGACAATGTTGACGATCACACTATCACCTCCTACTTTAAGTTCTGTGTTCTTGTTATGAGAACACTCCTGAGACTACAGACAATTTAACACTGCTGTGCATTGAATTGACACCATAACACCTCCAAAATACCTCTCACAAACCAGCAAGCTTTGTCAGGGTGGTGGTTAAGTTGCTTTGGCCACAGCTTGAGGATATGGTCTTGGAACAGAATACAGCTGAAATACAGTACTAAATTTATGTTCATCAATTTCACTGTGCAGGAATGCTAACCTGTTTGCAGAATGTAGAATATCCATGTTTCGACTCCTTAATGACCTCATAATCCATCCAGTGACGTTCTGATGTTCAAAAGACAAAACATATTCAGTTTGCTAGATTTTTCATCATCGCAAGGTGCAACAGCCATGATCTTTGAAAACGCCATTCATTTTCCCCAGTAGAGAAAAGCTGCTTTCCTTAAATGCAACAAGCAACACAAAATGATATGACTTGAGAGGTTTATGGCCAATGAAACAGCCAACCCTGATAGCCAGTATATGTTCCTTCTACTGCTATGTCGCTGTTGGGATGTATAGTATAATTAAACTTCTGCTCTCTGCTGCCCCCTGGCTGCAGGGTAATGCTCACCGGGCCCAAGCGGCCAGTGATAAGATCTTCAGTGAGATGCTGCAGTCAGTGGAGCGCTGGCACGCTGAAATCTGCCAGCTCATTCAGGCTAACCTCCAAGCAGCCATGGCTCAGGCAAGTATCTTATTGCAAAACAATTCAAACTCAGTCCTCGTTTTCAAGTACATGGATTCCACTGCTATCTTTTGTAATTGTGAAATGGCCTGCAATACATTTAAAAATGTACTGTGAATGCTCACACAGTACAGAAACTGAGGATAGCGATGGCGTTACAAAGCTTTTCGAAGCTTCAACACAGTTGAACCAGCTGTATCAGAAAATGGTTCAGTGTTTTGAAGCATATGATACCAGGCTCCATGCTGCCATCTCCTGCCCAGTTCAATTTCCTAGAATGACTGTTTTCTTTTGATTGTCATTTACATCAAAGCTTATTCACCCAAATAAACCTTTATTACAACACAAATGTGATTTATATGATTTATATGATTTTCATATAAAGAAAGAAAATTTTATTAAAAACAACTTTTTTGCCCATTATATTGTCTTCTTGTCATGCAAACATCTTAAACTTCCCAAGTAATGAAGAGTCACATTGTAATATTTGTGGTAATGAAAATAATTATAATGCTGTCAAGAAGCATTGAAGAGGTGTTATTTGAGTATGATAGCGTTCGGTCACATATCAAACATCTCACATCTCAGTAACGTAATGAAGCTTCATTGTCTGTTATCACGTGACTCCAGCGTTTGAACCGAGGCACAGCGTCACTGTTTCGATACAGTTCGCAACACAAAGTGTCGACACTGATTCGATGCTCTGGTACTGGGCATAACATCTCTAGCTGAGGTTTCATTTGCATATTGCAGCCTTCTGCAATATCGGTATTTCAAAGACTTATGTACACAGTGTGAATGTGTCGGCAGGCCCAAGGATACGTGGAGCGCCTGGAGCAGGAGATCATGGAGCTCCAGCGGCGAGATGCAGAGTTACGGCAGATACTTGATACTGAGGACAACATACACTTTCTACAGGTACAGTACAGTCCATCTCAACATGTTTACAAGAATCTAAATAAACGTTTTTTGTAGCCAGTACACATGAAAAAAGATGGACGACAGTTCTACAATCCAAAAAATAAATCAGATTTTAGCTCACTAGCTAACAGCCTCAAACAGCGACAGTGACAAACAGCCTCCAGATACATAGTAGAAGAAGCAATAGAAAAGCATTCTCTGCTAACTGATCTTGTGTAATGTGTCTAGCCAGCAAGACTGGTAAGTCTGTTTACATTACAGTTCATGGGATTTAGTTGCCTCCCACCAGCATGATTAGCTTCAGCTTGTTCTGTGGCTAACTACCAAATGAAAAAGCAGTTGCACTGGTTCATTCTACTTTCCGGGTCTCCTTGTTCCTTGTCAATGCCACAAAATAATGTCAAAATACTAACTACACGTACATAATGCTAGAGCTGCATACCACATGTACAATATACAAGCTGACAAAATAAGGGTACGAGAGAATGCTAAAACATTTGGTCATGAAGGTTGTAATCTCTGTAGAATTTTCCAGCTTTGTCCATCGCCCCCGAGCCTATGGTGCCTAAAGTCCTAATAAACCCAGAGTTCTCCTTCGGTGAGGTCACTAAAACTGCGACTGACATGAAAGAACACCTGGACGATATCTGCAAAAGAGAGCTGGGCAACATGTCCAAAAAAGGTATTTTAAAAAACAATCTTATATAAAAGGGCTACTTCACCATGAAATGCTAATATTGCTAATAATACATATTAAAGTTAGTAATAATAAAGACTAACTAGTCCTCAAAAGGCTTCAGTTCTTATATCATCATTACTTGTGGTCACTGACAGAAAATGTTTTTTCCCCATAGTGAGTGACATCCCAGTCTATGTGTTGATCCCCAGGTCTGGAGGTCGTTTTAAAGGTAAGATGGCTTTAGTGTGTTCTGTAGGTGCTGTACTTTATCTAGTAGTATCCATAGTAGTAGTAGTAGTAGTAGTAGTATCCATACAATGCTATGGCTATGATTTTACCAAGGCTTCAACCTTTATCCTTTCTGGCTTAGCAAGTATTAGCAAGATTAGCAACTACTTCTTTCAGAACTTCATATTAAAAAGTGAGTCACTAAAGTGAAACTTTTTCTCCACACCTGCAGCACCAACAAGAGCTGATCTGCAGGAGCCCAAAACCAGAGCAGACTTCCTCAGATGTAAGTTAAGCCACACAGACTACAATACGGTAGTAATTACTCATATGAACCATGTGTCCAGATGATAAGATACTGACTGCAATGCCATTACTAAGTGACTAAGCTTGACAAATTGCACAACACATTCAAATATTTGGTAATATTCACACTCATAGCTAGAAGTGGACCAAACACCTGCTTCTTCTTAAAGAATCAACCTAAAAATTCTGTTACTTGTAATGAAGTCAAAGCTAGAACGTGTTGTACAAATACAGTCCTGCTAAGCAGAGATTGCTTCACAATTAGTTATAATTTTAGAGTGAGTAAGGCCTTCACACTGGACTCAGCATGGTGGTGTATCATTCTATTGTGCAATGTTGCTTTCAAAAACATGACCTTCATGGAAGAGTCGTACTGCCTTCATCACAACAGTCAAGTCTGAAGTATACAAAACAACATCAAGATAAGTGCTCTGGACTGATGAGATAAAAACTGGAATGCTTTTGCCTCCATCACCAAAAGTATTTTTGGAGAAAATAAGGATCAGCATTTGATGCAAAGAACAACTTACCAACTGTTCAGTACAGGGCTTGATCTATTCTGCTTTGGGGTTGTGTGGCAGCCACTGGCATAGGAAACATTGCCAATGGCTGCCAAACAGGTCAATGGAAGAATGCATTCCACTAAATATCAGCAAATGCTAGAAGAAAATGTGTCACGGTCAGATGAGAACATGAAGCTGGCTTCTACAACAGGACAGTACAGCTAGTGAGTAAAATGGACACATTGCCAATAAGTGTAACAAAGCAGCAACTGATCAAAGTTCATGCCTTTACTGTTAAAATGAAACTGCTGTTAAGTGCAGCAGGTAACTGTAATAATCTTTCAAATGTGGATACAAGCACCAGAGTTGGTATGTTTGTCCCTCTGGGGCCATTCATGTGAAAAATCTCATTAGCCACTTGAATTTTCAAAATGCCCACCATATTCCAAGACAGTCACTATTTCTGACATAGGAAACTCTGAATTTACCACAGAATTTTCCCATTGGATCAATCTCAATTATTTTGCAATTGGAGTGTTTTTGACCATAAGGATGTCAAATTCACAACTTTTTTTGTTTTTTATGCAATTTCTAATAAATAATGTGAAAATTTATGCATAAATTGCAGAAAAAATATATTATAAATGATGTATCAATTCTTCGATACCACCACCCTCATCCAGTCTTACCAGATCCAGAACAATGGGCAAGTCATTTACGGCATGTAAGAGAGGAATATTGGTTGCAATCATGGTGTAGCCATCATGTTCTGTTTTGTTTTGATAACGTGTAGGTGGTGATCTAAGATCTTCAATCTTCTACGATCTTCAATCTTCTCCTTTTGGCACAAACAACAATTGTATAATCAATCCTAAATCTCTAAGATCTAAGATCAAAGATGTTCTCTTGGTCAACAGACGCAGTCAGACTGACCTTTGATCCAAACACCGCCTATAAAGAGCTGGTCCTGTCCGAGGGGAATCGCAGGGTGGTCCGGAAGCGCTCGGTGCAGTTTTACCCAGATCATCCGGAACGTTTTGATGGCTTTTGCCAGATTCTGTGTGCTGAGCCACTGAGCGGGTCCAGGCACTACTGGGAGGTGGAATGGAACGGAGAGTTCTCCATCGGCGTTGCCTACAAGAGCATCAGCCGCAAAGGCAAGAATTCCCACAGCCTTCTGGGATACAACGACCGCTCCTGGAGCCTACTGTGCTCCGAGTCCGGATACTCTGCCTGGCACAACAAGATGGACAAAGACCTGCCAATCTCGACCAGGGCCACGCGGATCGGTGTATATCTGGACTTTCCTGGGAACTCTGTGTCTTTCTATACTGTCTCAGAATCCATGGAGCTCATCCACAGGTTCCAGGCCCGGTTTGTTGAGCCACTGTATGCTGGATTTGGAGTCGGGGCCTCAGTATCCCTGTGCTCTCTGGAGAAACACACCTAGAACATCTAAACCCCAGAAGTTGAAAGCTACTACTTTTGTTTTGCCATCGTATTTAAATTTAATTTTACACATTTAATTACTTCCTGAATTACACAATTAATTGTATTGCCATTTACACTATATTGACAGCTTCAAATCTGCACTTCTGACTATCTTTTTATTTCTCAGTCAAAAAATGAAAAAAATATGGCAAAAATGAAAAGAATGTTCTTGACTGTAAGCACAAATTTAAATCACAACAAAGCATCTCTTTTTCCACTTACAAACACAAGCATGAAATTTCAGAATCTGCACTTTCCACACAACTTCTACTCTTTTTTAATTATGACTGAAAAAAATAATGAGCATAAAATTGTACATAATTGGTGATAACAGTGACTTCTAAGGGTTAAACCTGAAGCTGGTGTCCTTTATTCCAGTAGATCAGGCATGTCAAACTGGGGACCTTCCAGGCCAAACTGCAGCTGAGATTAGCATTTACCCTCATCTAACGCTAATTAGCTGATGAGCTGAATCAGGTGTTTAATGAGGCAGTGTGCTGAAGTCTGCAGTGTTTTGTCCTGTGAGGACTGGATCCTGACACATGTACAGTAAAAAAAACTGTTTATATACTGTATATATATATATATATATATATATATGTTGTTGTGGTTGTTTTAATGTACATTACTGCTCTTTCTCTACATATAACTCCATATTAGAATTGCTATTTTGCTTCCTATAACTCATGTTTTTTTCCAAAGACAGTTACATTTATAATGTTTTGTTTGAAAGGAATCTTTCATAGACTGTAAATGTTCTATATTTCTACACGTTTTTCAGATACATGTATACGTAGATGTAGTAAAAAGCATGTCCATAATTTGTGCACTTGTAAAAGTTGATGATACAGCAGTAATTACTGCCTTGGTCAGCGACTGCTGAAACAGCAGAACAGGTGACTCACAACAGAACACAACTAGAATAAACAATGGATTGTATTTCCTCCTAATCCCAGTTGAAGAACCCCTATTCCTTGCACATTTCTGTATTTATCCTACTCATGAGAGGTCATATAAGGGTCTGATGAATGGCTGATGATATGAATAAGATGTGTCAGATTAGGGAAAAAGCAAAACTGTGAGAAGCACTGGGATATTATTATGTTTACTGCTTAAGATCCAGTACCACTAGCAACCCCCAATAGCTGATTTAACCCCAAAACTTCCAGGCTTATTATCTAGCTATTGTTCTTAAAGCAATGGGTCAGCCAAAAATTAAACATACTCAATTATTCTCGTCTTAAATGTAGCCAATTGGCTGAGACGTGTTGTGTGCTCTGCAGCTACAAGGCTTATGTAGCTAACAAGTAAGTGAGGTTATAGCAGTTAGCATCATTCACTTGCCTCAAACAACATTAAGGTGTTAAGTAATCTAAAATAGACTTGCTTATTTGATTTCTGACACCGTACTCCATCCTGTTATCTATAAAATCGAACAAATTCAGGCATCAAGATGGCTGATACTGCTGTTTTAGCAATGCTAATTTATGCCTGTTTCAATAGATAGCACGTTTTTTTTATTTTCATGTGCCGAAAATGTTTATAATGCACTTTTAGAGTAGCAACAGCCAGAAAATATCAAGTACAACAGGCATGCAAAGTATTTAAAAAATGGTTATGTGGTCAAATCGCCACACAGTAGCAGTGGTGGACAGTAATGAAGTAAATGTACTTAAGTACTTTTTTGTGTATCTGTACTTTACTGAAGTATTTCCATTTTGGGCAACTTTTTACTTTCACTCCACTACATTTCAAAATTAAATATCTCACTTTTTACTCCACTACATTATGCGAAATCTGTCGTTCCTTTTGGTCCATGTGTACATAAAAATGCCACATGTCAAAACGAAAGAAGTGCAAAGTAAGAACACCAATCAGGGCACAGCGCTCACTTTGTTTTGAGCTTGTTTTGACCTGTTGGTCATACTGACCCAGTGCAGCACACAGTTCAACATCAGTGCAGCAGTGTAAAATTCTGAGAGTGTCTCTTCAACATAAATGATGAACTAACCTAATTTTGTGTAAACAGACCACAATATAGACATATGTACACATATGCAGTTGTGACTGGCATGTTTTTTTTCTGAATTTATACAAAAACTTTTATTTTATAGCAAATTTGTTTTGGCTAGTTTTATGTTTATGAACAGAGACCTACAGATGCAGTTTAGTAAAGGAAACTCATTTGTGAATCTGAGTTTAAAGTTTTTATTAAACTTAAACTTGTAACTAAGTTGCAAATAAATCTTAAAATGAAACTTTGCTTGCTTGCAAAATGTTATTTCAGAGCCATTCGGTTCCACCTAATGGAAATTGTTTGTCTTCAGTGTTTTGTGCTTAGGATAATTTTAATAGACATCAGCGTCAGACTAATAATCACAATCTATTAAAAGACTGGTTTACCAAGAGTGACACTGGAGTATTTTCACCTAAAATTACTTAACAAAGCAAAAGTTCTTCTTACAAAAATGATAACAAGACATTAGAGTCTTTAATAATCAATCTTTTAGTACTTTCACTTTTGATACTTAAGTACACTTGAAGGCAAATACTTTTGTACTTTTACTCAAGTGGAGGTCTAAAGGGAGGAACTTCTACTTTTACTGGAGTAATATTTTACCTTGGGTATCTCAACTTTAACTCAAATACATGATTTGTGTACTTCATCCACCACTGCACAGTAGATCCGTCTCATAGTTTGTATTAAGCACAGAGCCAGTATAACCAACTCTATATACATCCACTTACAACAGGCACAGATCAAGCAAAGGTACTTAAGTCAAGCACTGTTCTCTCCTCTCTCTTAGATAAACTTTAGATCTATTAGATCTATTATTCAAACACACAGTTTATAGATCAGTTCAGTCCCAGATGGTGCAATTAGAGTGTGATTTTGCTCTGTAGGCATGTTTAATAAGCTGGGTGACAGAATTTTATAGTCAATGTGACATTTTATATTTTCCCAGTTAAATTAAATGTATTTATTAATTTTAACTAAAAGCTTATACAACTCTCTTTCTTCTTGATCACTAACCTCCATCAGATCTGCTCCTTCAGTCCCGTCAGCCTCCTTCAGCTTCTTTCTCTCCCTCTCTTCCTGAGTTTAGTTATACAATCATTTTATTAAACTCAGATTTACAAGAACTAATAATGATTAATCAATTTATTTTTTCTAACTGGTAAAAATCTCATCTGACTCCTTAGACGGAGTTGCTGGGATATAAAACTGTTATTATGACCTTTTCACACAAAGCTGGTCAGCTTCTTGTTTAAATTTTCCGTTCCACCTTAAATGCTGCAGCAGTTGGTGAACACAAAGCCAAATTCAGCCTCGTCCTTTTTTTACTGACATTAATTCACTGGAATCAGCAATTGATGGCAAATACAGGTGTCATTTTCTTTCAACTACTGAAGAGCAATCTAAAAACAGAATATAGAGAGCTTTAAATAACGTTATTTTTATCCCTCTTGTTCTTTCGCACTCACTACGAAGTGGTTAAACTAGTTAGCTTGTCAGCTAGGTTAGTTAGCTAATGTCGATGTTAGCCTAGCCTGTTTACCTCAGTCCAGCCCAAAGTCAACCGAAGTTAGCTTAGCTAACTAGAGTTTATAATACGGCCAAGTAAAAACAGACAGTCAGCTATACTGACCATAGTTTGCCACAAATCCATACTGTAGGTGGAAATTCCCTCGATTTCACTCTGTATTTTACAGATTTTGAATACGGTCTAATGTTTATTTCAGTGAGCTTTTAGCCAAATTCCTGCCTTCAGCTCAGTTAACGATTACTGTGCCGTGCATAAACAGAGCCCCTCCCCCAGGTCTGATATGATTGGCTTACAACGTGTGAGGTCTGATATGATTGGCTGAACTTTATGTAAGTCAATCTCTGGTAGTAGAGCAGAGGGAGCGCTGCATTAGAGCAGCAATAGCCCTGCTATTACAGCATATTGAGAATAAGAATGAACAACAGATGATTTGGACTAGTAATGTACATTTATTTAGGAAAGGGGGCGTTAAATAGTATCTGAAGCCCCCCTAAAGTTGGCCTAGCAACGCCCACGGTTGACTCTATGACACCAACCACAGCGACATCCTCTTGAGAGTAACCATGCAGAATCAGACAGGGTAAATCGATTAATCTATAAATGTAATCTATAATAATAAATACTATATATCAAATATTACAAATGTAGATCGGTATTGTAGCAAAGGTCAACCCTCAGGTCAAGCCCTGCTATTACACTATTTTGTGAATGAGAAACCATAGATATAAATACATGTATTCCTATACGATTTGGACAAGTAATGTATATTTATGGGGGGTTAAAATAACAAATTGGCCCTGCAACGCCCATCATTCGCACAATGCTGACCTGGTGGCTTTAAGCTTTCAGTACTTGTTAGCTACATTAGCTTTGTAGCACTAGTGCAAAACTGAAGAAGCTAAACTAAAACCAACAAGTTTCCTAGGGATGCATGAGCACTCAAACACTCGGTTAAGGAACTTGGTTAATAGGCTATGAAGCACAAGAGCCTGAATGCGTTACCAACTATGTGGCTGAAGTTGTACCATGTACCATACAAACCGAGAAGAAAACACTCCATGTAGAAGACAGTAAGTCTCCATAAGCGTCCCACGTCACATCAGTTAGTGTTAGCTTATTAGCTATCAGCTGTAAACTATTCCCATAGATATACATACCTCAGATGCCTCGTTGTCTGTTGTTCTCCGTCTGAGGCGATACGTTTGCGTGTCCGCCATGTTGGAGCGGTCAAGATCCGCTTATGAACAAATTCTCTTGTATTGGGAGGCGATGAGTCTCAGGATTAAATCAACCACAACTTCTTTATTACTTAATCGATTTTCACCAAATTTGTTTTGTTATAATCATTAGACAGAGCTTAATATAGATTGCATGGACTCTCATTTTTTACCTTTTATTTCTTTAATAACTGATGGAGCTAATTAGGCGTCCTGCGGAAAAGTATTTAGTCTGCACCTGATGTTAAAAACCAAGTTTAGTGCTCCGGTAGAAACCTAATCTCACTCACATCAGCAAATCCATCAATGTGAGAATCACTTCTTATCTTAATACACATAAAAATAAAATCAACCCCCCAAAACACAGTAAGAAGAACGAAGCTAAAGTTGGCTTCCTACTTGTCAGCTTCTTGTTCAAGTTTTCCCATTCCACCTTAAACGGTCCAGCAGTCACCTTGTGGTGCCTGAAGCTGCACCATTTAAGGTGGAACGGGAAAATTTGAACAAGAAGATGGCAAATAAGAAGTCAACTTCAGGTTTGTGTAAAAAGGTGCTAACGTTAATCTATTAAGAATATCTACACGGATTAAGGAATGCTATTAAACTTATGCTATTATACTATTAAATAAAATAAGCTTAAAATAAAACTAGAGGAAAAACAACCACATCAACAGGTTCTCTGTGCTTCTCCAACCACACGGCCATATCTACACAAACATCACACAAACAATAAATATCACACAAACATGAGCGTGGATCGCTGCGTTCCCTCTGTTATGTATAATCCTATCCCGTTTGCTGAGAGCAATATTCTTAAAATAGTGTAATTTTGGACAGTATCTTTCTTAAACTGCTGCTCTGTAATGGTACTGAATGCAGTCCAGCAGCGATGTTGACTGCCCCAAAATGGCAGCGCCGTTGACGTGCCTGGCTGGACCCAACGCGGCATCTAGGAATGTGTATCTATGACTATTCCTCTGAAGAGGCAGCTCCAAGAAAGAAAACCTACCGATTTCTCTCGGCTATTACTGAATAATAAAATTCAGATTTTATCCTCCAGCGATATAATCTAAAAAGTAGGCCTACAGTCCTTTGCTAACTTTTAACCAAGGTCTGTTTCATTTCCCTTGCAGTTAACCAGATATCTGTTCATTAAACAGAATGCACATACCTGATGTTGGCTGTTTTCAACCCAACCAACACCAGGCTTCTTATTCAGTAACCACCATGAACTAAATGGTAATTTGTTTATCATTATGTATTCTATGTAAGAGGTTAAGAAACCACACAGCTCCACTCCAAAGAAAGTCATGGGAATCAGTCATTCTGTATGTGAGAGAAAGAACTTGACTCGCACGTCCATTTGTTTTAATCTTACTGTATTTGTGCTCAATTTCAAGCATTCTACAGCATATTCAGCCACCACCCATCCCCAGATAAGAGAGAGAAGGAAACACAAAGCAAAAGTCTAAAGGTGAAGCCCACACAGCTGCTGTTCCTCAGCTTGTATCGTTATGCACAGGTTATCAGTATTCCATCATTTTAACTACAGCTTACAGAGAGATAACTGAAAATTATCTGAATATGGACCAGCACTGGTTTCCACTGGCTTTCTAACATACTTTTCATCCCTCACTCATATCCATCCTTCTCGTTCCACTTTCTGTCCATCCACTTTCTTTAAATCACGTTCCAGAGAGACATTTTCTACTGATCTAAGGGCAGAAACACACCAAAGCTGACCCCATATCATTTACAACACGGCAAGTTCCACCAACATGATGACAGAATTGACAAGTAATGCTCAACCCAGAAATGGTAGTGTTGCTAATATCAAATGAAAGTGAGCATAGGATCAGATTTAACACAGAAAGGAAAAAAAAACTGCCCGCACCGTTAGCATTACTGGGAAATATGATCAAATTGTCAAGTACTTTGTTATTATTTTCTCCTAAATGTACAGTGTAGTGGACACGTCTTGTATGGTGCCTTCTTTACCTTTTACTCAGGGCTCTGAAGCTTTGCACCAACATTACTGTTAAAGCAATAGTTTAGAATAAAATCAAAATTTTCTTCTACCCCACATATAGTCAAACAGCCAAGACATATTTGCTTCTTTAGTTTTAAACTGAAGCTATGAGGCTAAAGTAACATGCAAGCAATGAACAAATGGACAGCACTACTACTGCTGCTGTTTTTAGTTATGAAACGTATCTTAGTCCATTACTCTGCTTGCATTACTTATGAGCTACATAAGCTTTGTAACTCCACTGCAAAACTTATGATGGCTTAACTTTTTTTGTTTTAATCCCCACATTAACAATATACTATCAAAACTATAAATACAACGATTTTTATTCAACCTTTCCTCTTTTTAATGAAACATTAAGTTTGTTAGTGTTCTCTACGTACTGATGGTTTATAGCACGTGTCAGGCTCCAGTCCTTGCAGGCCAAAACGCTGCAGACTTCATCAATCTACTTCATTAAACACACCTAATTCAACTTACCAGCTAATCAGCAAGGCCTTCATGAACTGAATTCAGAGCGTTAGGTGAAGGTAAATGCTAATCTCTGCAGCACTCTGACCCGGAAGGTCCCCAGTTTGACAGGCCTGGTGTATAGAATAAGCTTATAAATATAAATATATAGAACAGCTTATAAAAGCTTATCATGATAAAATATCGCCACATTGCCGATGTCTAGTGGACAGTTCAACGTGCTTGGAGGAGAATGAAGACTGTTAATTTGGTTTGGCTAACAGACGCCCATGCTGGCTAGCACTGCGCTGAGTGATAGGGGGAGAGGGATAACCAACCTACGGACCCGGAGGAAAAGAACCAGTTATGTTCTCTTGGAGTCCTGGCCACAGATGACTGTGGCATCAGTGGGGATCACACTTGACTTGTGATGTCCTTATGACAGACTACTCATTTGGGGTAATAGGAAATTAGATTTTTCACTGAGCTATTGCTTTAGTCAATAGACGTGTTGGGTTCAACCAAGTGGGTTATAATCATAAATCTGTGTAGTGCAGAACTGAGAACCACTGTTTGGTCACGATAAGCTGTAGAGAAACTAGCTTTCAAATGATCTTTAACCATTTTGTGGTAACATCACTTTTAGATACTATTAAAAAGCACCACCACCAGCAGATACAATGTATTTTTCTATGGTTGAATAATCAGATTGAAGAGCTAAAATAGAATTAAAGAAAAAAAAAAAAAGCGAAGAGCTGCCACCATTTTGCCTTTAGCTTGAAGAGCTTGGCTCGTACATAAGGCAGGGTTTAAAAATACAACAGTAAATGGCATTCTGTAGATGCTGTTACTTTAAATAATAAAAGGTCTAAAATGTACAGTACAATCCAGAGTGTTAAACATACTTGTGAAATGATGAAATGCTGAAACGCTGCAGCTTTTAGCACAGACTTAACCAACAGGACTTATAAGGGCAGTCCCTACAGACAGTGTAATTGGAGTCCGAAAGTAAGCTTACGCCACAGAGTCACCTGACTGATGTTAACACTTCAGCAGTTCAATTTCAAATCTTTTGGTTGCAGCAATTTTACAGCTCTGAAAAATCACACACACTACGTAGACTTGCAGCATTGCAAGTTCAAAAAGTACCAGCATTAATAAAGTTACATACACACAAATGTACTCGAACCAAGTCCCTGTAATAAGTACCCCACAGCCCTTTCACGATGTCCAGTTACAGCACTCGCTGTCCATTGATGATAACATCATCAAACTCCTCCTGTAACAGAAACACAATAAGCAGACATGAGCTTTTTGTGCATGACATAAACAGACAGAAACTTCACACAACAACAAACTGCAGACTCAGAAATGTACAATGTACAACTGGACAGTGACACATATAACATGACAAATAAAATGGCCCTGACTTTGTAAAGTGTTTTTTTTTTTAAAAAAAAAAAAGCTCCATGACTTAATTTTAAAACTAAAAGTAGAAGTGGCCAGTATATCAGTTTAGCCAGTTTACCCGCTGAGATTCTGCCTCCAGTATGATTTCTGCCACAATGAAGCACAAATACTGCAATGTAAAAACAAACAAACTACCCTATTTCGCTGAATAGCTGAGTCGTGTCGTGTTTCAAATGAAAATGAAAGCGCAGCAGATATCTTGATCGTCCTTGATGACCCTTGAGTAGTCCACTCTGTTTTAAGGTGGAAGACATAAAGGAATGGCTGATTTTTTGGAGTTAGGTTTAGCCTATCAACACCAGACTGATTGCTGTGCTTCTGTGTCCACTCACTGTCCACTCTAGAGAAGCCTGAGAAGCCACCTTACTCGGTCAGCTGCCTCAGATAAGGCCGCGGTCTCAGGGCTTTGTGCGTCAAACAAGCCGTGGACCAGTTGGTACTGAAGCGTAAGTGACTGTAATACTTTCCAAATTCCAGCCTTGTTTCAACAGTGTGTAGAAAGCACGTATGAGCCACAATTAAACAAGGCTTATTTTTCTTATTTAAATTCCCCATTCCACCTTAAATGGTGCAGCAAGTACATTCATGTATCTGTACAGGTGCAGACAACTGCTGCTCTGGTTGAGGGTCAGGTTCAAGTTTCAGACTTGCATGCAGAGCTCTGGGGTGTGGGCGTGGGGGGGCTGAGGATTCCTCACCTCTTCACTCTCTCTCTCCTCATCCTCTTCATCATCATACTCCTCCTCCTCTTCCTCCTCCTCTAGGGTGGAGGTGGCGGCAGATTTCAGTAAAGCCTGCAGTTCTGTGTTGGGCCTGTAGAGAGCGCAGTACAGAGGCGTGTGTCCGGCATAAGAGCGCTGATCCACAGAGGCTCCAGCTCTAAGCAAGAGCTCGGCTACAGCACTGCTCTGAGACTCCACTGCCCAGTGCAGCGGGGTCCGTCCAGAACCCTGATCCTACAGACAGAAAATGAGGAAGAAAAACAGAAAGAGACAGAGGTATCTTAAGGTATGACTTTTATAGACTTCACAATATATTGTTTATTAGGGCCGTCAGACGGGATCAGAAATCAATTTCAAACTTTCTACTTTTTTGTCAAATATTCAAATTCAAAAATTTCAAAAAAAAAAAAAACTAAATGCTACATCTCCTAAATCCACCAGGAGGCACTCAGCATAAAATATCAAGCAAGCTCAAAAGCACACAATGTTTAAACCAGGTACACAGACCTGTTTTGATGCAACTTCACCATAAAATCCCCACGTGGATGATCTCCTGCTGTGATTATAAGCTAAAGAGAGCCACTGAGGTGAAAGCATGAGGACACCAACTATAGTGAAAGTAAAAGTCCATAACTGGTGCAGGAGGCTGCAGTAGCAGGGTTTTTAAAATTCCGCCTTTCAAAGCAGATAATTCAGTTATTCGGTTAGACTGTATTTTTCTGCAGTGGAAACTTCTGAAAACCACTGTCTGTGAAAACAGTTTGTCGCTGCATCCACAAATGCAAGTTAAAACTCTAAAATGCAAAGAAGAAACTGTACATAAACAGGAACCATGAATGCTGACACCTTCTCTGGGCCAGAGCTCATTTAAATGGACTGCGGGGAAGTGGAAAAGTGTCTTGTGGTCAGATTAATCAAAATCTTAAGTTCTTTTTGGAAATCACAGACACTGTGTCCTCCAGGCTAAAGACCACTCAGCTTGTTATCAGTGCACAGTTCAAAAGCCAGTATCCATGATGGTATAGGGGTGCATTAGTGCACATGGCATGGGTGACGTGCACATCTGTGAAGGCACCATTAATGCTGAATAATATATACATGTTTTGGCAACATCTGCTGCCATTCAGACAACGTTTTTTTACAGGAAAGGCCTTGATTATCTCAGCAAGACAATGTCAAACTACACTATGCATGTATTTCAACAGCACTGCTCTGTATTAAGAGTCCAGGTGCTAAACTGGGCCTGGCTGCAGTCCAGACCTGTCACCACTGAAAACGTTTGGCGCATTATGAAATGAAAAATACAACAAAGGGGACTTTGAACTGTCGAGCAGCTGAAATCCTGTATCAAACAAGAACAGGAAAACATTTCACTTTCAAAACTACAGCAGTGTCTCCTCAGCTCCCAAATGCTTACAGAGTGTTGTTAAAGCAGAGTTGATGAAACTCAGTGGTAAACAGAGCCCCCGTCCCAACTTTCTTGGAACGTGTTGTTGGCATCAAATTCAAAATGGGCATATATTTTTCAAAAAACAATAAAATTTCTCAGTTTCAACATTTGATATGTTGATATGAAATCCTCTTTACTCATTTGTACAGGCTACACTTAGCTTATCAGCAAATGAGGCTGTGTTTTCGCTGAAACAAGACACTGCTGGGAGCGATATGGGACGCAGCCCTCATCTCTCACCCTCTCGTTCACGTTAGCTCCAGCCTCCAGCAGCATGCTGATGATATCGCACCGGCCCTTCTGCACCGCCAAATGGAGAGCACTCACTCCTAGAGAGAGAAAATGAGAGAAAGAGAGAGAGATCTTCAAAAAAGTAAAATTACAAGTGAAGCAGATACCAAGATGACACAACATGTACTCCCAAGGAATCACAAACAAAATTCCCTACATTATTCACCAGTCGAGTGAGTCAATGTCAAGTGACAGAGATTAGATTTGTTGGGGTTGAATCAGCAGATGAGTGTGTTAGAAAGAATGCAAATCTAAAATCATAGCATGTTTTCCTTCTGTACTGCCACCTATTTCCAAATGAAACACAGTATCAGGTATTGGTATTGGCAGCTATTTCACGATAAGTATTGCTATACAAACGCCACAATACGATGACAAAACACAGACATTTTCACTCTTAAACCTGTTTTAAAGGCCACAGGAATAGAGGAGAAGTGAAATTAGAAACATGTTTAAATTTCTTTGTTAAATTATAGGGGTAGGGTATCGCCGTCGCCTCACAGCAAGAAGGACTTGGGTTTGATTCCCCAGCTGGGCGACCAGGGTCCTTTCTGTGTGGAGTTCTCACTGTTCTGTGTTCTCAATGTTCTCACTGTGTCTGTGTGGGTTTCCTCCGGGTTCTCCGGTTTCCTCCCCCCAGTCCAAAGACATGTAGTCAGGCTAATTGTAGTTTTGACTGAGTTCTCTTTGAATTGTCTTTCAATGCACTCACAATCATCAGACTCATCTGCTGAGGGAAGGGGTCCGACGCACAACCCACATTATAAAACGGTGTGCAATTACACATTTCCACCAGAGAGGTCTCCAAATTCCCAAAACTTGCATAGTGTAGCTTTAAATCAAAGACTACATTTGAGGTAAACCAAAAAGGTGCATGCCTATTCAAGTCAAGGCGGGGGGGTACAACAGGGCAACAGCAGCAGCCTATGCAGAAGGACTGGGCAGAGGGCTGATCGAACAGCCAAACAAAACAGTTGTTTCTTAAAATTAGCTAATCAGAAAATGTCTTTTCATGCTGAAAATACTCACAAGACCCTTCATTGTTAGAAATAAAGGTTCTGTGCAGGTACATTTTTCATTCATCAAGGTACAAAAAATGTAAACGTTCCCTCAAAGGCATAACAGTGGTTTTAAGGTCCAGTTGTGAACCTTAAATAAGTTTTTTCCCCAGGTATAAAGTTCGTATTTGTATCTTTTCATAACCTAATGTTTTAAAACAGAACAATAAAACAAAAAGCCTGGAGACGAGACGGGGTGTGTGGAGTCAATATGACTTAGAAATACATCTCAATGGATTATGGTACAATGATGTTCCCTGACTAAAGGTACTGAGATGTACCCTCGAGGGACCCACCCCAGGGATAAGAGGGGTAGTGCCCTTTTTTTCTTAGAGTGTAACAATTAAAAAAATGGCTACCAGTTCACTGTAATCATAAAGAGAGTAAAAATTATCACTAAAGTTTGGACTAACTGGCAGAATTTTCCATGGCCATGAATGAGTCCTCTCTCCCTCTCGCCAAAACCATGTGACTGCATTCCTGGAAATATTTTGACACGGCAGCTCTTGCTTAATGAATCTTCCCTGAACAGATTATGTTCAAGCGAGATATTCACAGGTGTGCATGTACCTGCATAGTTGGCGATGTTCAGGTGTTCTGGCGCAGTGCAGGTGCAGGACGTGAGCGCTCTCACACACTCCGTGCGCTGCTCTCTCACTGCAAGGTGCAGAGGGGTGTGTCCTCCTCTCTCCTGAAGCTTCGCACACGCCCCTGCCTCCAGCAGCACAGACACACACTGGCTTCGGTCCACAATCACTGCCAGATGCAGAGCCGTCTGAGAGAGAGACAGTGTGGAGAAAGAGAGGAGGAAATAAGCAGCAGGGACAGGAGAAGACGAGTAAAAGAAAAACAGTAGAAGAAATGAAGAAAAAGGTAGACCTGTCAGGCAGAGGACAAGTGTCTGTGGAGAAGGGCTACACAATATACCATCTATTAACCAACCGAGTGGATGTCTACTACTGTTGATCTAGTGCACCTTAATTTTTAATTATTATAAATATAGTACCTTTTTAATACTGTACCTATTATTAATATCATACCTATTATTAATATAGTACCTTTTCAGTATAGTACCTATTATTAATATAATACCTATTATTAATATAGTACCTTTTTAGTATAATACCTAATTAACATAGTACCTTTTTAATATAGTACCTATTATTAATGTAGTACCTTTTTAATACACTACCTATTATTCATATAATACCTTTTCAATATAGTTTCTATTATTAATAGAATACCTTTTTAATATACTACCTATTATTAATGTAGTACCTTTTTAATATAATACCTATTATTAATAGCATACCTTTTTAATTTAGTACCTATTATTAGTATAGTACCTTTTCAATATGGTACCTATGATTAATACAGTATCTTTTTAATATACTATTATTAATATAGTACCTTTTTAATATAGTACGTATGATTAATTTAGTACCTTTTCACTATACTACCTGTTATTAATATATTACCTTTTTTAATCTTCTTTCTTTGTTGTTTTTACTGTAAATCAACATGAGCTGCATTTTCAGTATGAAAAGTGCTATATTAATAAAGACTATTATTATCACTGTTAACGGTTATCGTGATAGCTTCTGACTTCGCCAAAGGCTTTAATATGCACAACTTTAACAAATGACTCTGTTTAGGGACGCAACTGGTTATTTCTAGATCAACTTATCGACTATCATTTAGATTTCGTTTTTTTTTAACTTCTATCAGTGCAAGTAGTGATATCTTCGTTTAGGCTACAACACAAGCCATGCCAGTCCCTACACTTCCTGTAGTGTAAATAGTGTAAATGTATCATATTTGGTTATAGAGCACTACTGTTTTTTTCTAGGGGAATTCCACCAATAAGAAGTAAACAAAGTCATTCAGAGTGGTTTGATGTGAAATGCTCAGAACTGTTCACAGTGATGGTGATGGGAACCAGACGTCTGAAGAGTTTAATGCCTCTAAAAGTTCCTTCACAGACAGTTGTTACATAAAATGGTTACAAATATACTACCTGATGCCTGAGACACTTTTGAAATATATATTTTTTTTATTCATCACTACGTTTACTATTACAAACTAGTGGCTCACCAGTGGTTTTAAACAGTAAATACAATATATATCTGCATTGTAGATATCGAGACCCATCACCACCACTGTAAATTCAAGGGACAATTATGGAAAGGTGGTAAAATTAGCAGAATTCCCCTTTAATTAAACAACAGATCAACTTTGTCAACTAGCCTTTGTAGCCTTGTTGTGAGCATCCTCAGCAAATCTGTAGATGTTTTGATGAATGAAGGGATTCATGTGATTCAGCAATCGGAAACAACTTTGATCAAGATACGTCAGTCAGTCTTTAATCTTTAATAATCTCACATTAATAGTTCACCAGCATGTAAAGCAAAGCATATTTCAACAGCAAGACCCAGCAGTGCAATCACAATATATCGCTGTTCTCTGAAGAAAACCTTGTATCTCCATTTTTGACTTTTTTTCAGTTTTGGACATAATTTGAAAATACCTGTTGGCCTTTACATTGTGTGTAAATTTCATGATGAATGGAATAAAGAAACAGCCAAAAATGGCTTGGAAAAAAAGTCTGGTTCCATTGACTTACTTTAAAAGTAAAGTATGTTTTTTCCTTTTCCTGTAAAGTTTCCATTTTGGAGGTTTTTTCTTCTGACAACAGCGACATGTAAATGCAACCCTAATACATGTGTATCTGTGAAGTTCAGCTGACCTGTCCAAGATCATTCTGGATGTCCAGGTAAGGTGTCCAGGTGCGGTTGAGAGAGATGAGATCCAGCAGGTACTGAACGAAACCCCACTGCTCATGGATCAGCGCCAGGTGCAGTGCACTGCGAGAACAGCCAAAGGTCAAGAGGTCAGCAGACACAAAAGAAAAACAGCAGACCAGGTAAAACCCACTGATTCCATCTAATGCAACTGGATTTATCTCAGCAGGCCAAAAACAATACCATCAGCACTAAACCCTAAGAGTAGACATCAGAATTGGAGTGGCATTTATTCCCACATATGGACATTTTCGGGGCATTCATGATGATGCAGTGTGTAGGATTACTACATGTGATACTGTAGTTTCATGTATCTTCAATCATTTTTAACACAAAGCATTTGCAAGTTTTTTTCATAGAAAATTCAGTTGCACAATGTTCATTTAGGGAAGCTAAATATCTTGCTATCCAATGTTTAAATGGGAATTTGAGAAAACAGTGTTGATAATCAGAAAACAAGATCACAAAATAAAAGCTTCTACACTCAAATAGTGCTCTACATATCTAATAAAGAATCAAGTGGGCCTTAAAAAACATCAGCCTTTTATAGAAAGCACACTGTTACACGATACACTGAAAACAGTTTTAGGAAAGCTTAGAGTAGAGGTCTGCGCTGGACTGGCTTTAAACTGTTTTTTTCAGTCCCACTTCTACAAGATTTGCCATCGTTTTGTCCTGCTCCCACCCGCAATCTAAACGTTTTCTCCTGCTCCCACCCGCAATCTAAATGTTTTGTCCTGCTCCCACCCGCAATCTAAATGTTTTGTCCTGCTCCCACCCGCAATCGAAATGTTTTGTTCCACTCCTGCCCACACAGGTGAACTGACATCCAGTACTTGACACAGTCTAGTCACAAACACATTTTCCTCTGCTGAAATAATATAGCAGTCGTGGTCATCAGACTCACTGTGACTAACTTCAAACGCCATTTATTCCCTGTAAACACAGAGCAGGAATTAAACCACAGAGCGGTTATTTTTTGTGCTGGTTTCTTCGCAACTCTTTAGAATGACTTCATTAATTCATTAACTGTTTTACTGTTATCATTTCGTATTGTTTATATACGTTATTTAGTGATCGTTCAACTGTATTTAGGCTCTTCATTTATTTGCAGGATTTCTCTTCATGCGTGGTTTCCCGTCCGCTCCCGCACACAACCCTGAAAGTTAGTCTCGCGCTGCAAGATGTTGTGGTGGGTCCTGCAGGTCCTGTGGGAGTGCAGACCTTTACCCTAGAGCACTGTTTCCCATTAGATAGACAGATTCAACTTTACCGTCACTGATCAGTACAAGCACAAGGCAACGAAACACAGTTAGCAAACAGTAGAAATAGTGAAAAATGGACAGTGCAAATGTGCAATAACAGGCATGAATATGACCTATGAAATATATACCTACATGAATAATATATACACAATTCAAAATATATCTATGAATAATATATTTGTATATATATACATAATTCTATAAATACGATATATACGATATGTTACGTACTGTTAGAATAAGCAGTTATGTGTTGTAAGGCTCTACTGTTTTTCTACAGCAATTCCAGCAATATTTGTCCTGCACATTTAATGTTTTCCTGTCTACTTCAAATCAGGCTTGTAAAGAAGCCGCCTCTGTCGTTCTGTGTTCCTCAGTGGGCAAAATGTCTGAGGATGGTACTTAACAAACCATTGCTGAACTGAAGTGGGCTGGAAACCATTAAACATGCAAGACAGAGGGTTAGACACTGAGGTGGGATTTTGAAAGGTGGAATTTTTGTGATCATGTACTTCCCAGCATCAATTTTTTATCTGTCCAATGGGACACCGACTTTTGCAGGTAGTTACCAAGCCTCCGCACCGTCACAATGAACCTTTCAGAGACTTTGCTTTGAAGCATTTAGAGGCTTGTAATCGAGACACGCTCGCGTGTTTGCCCGCGGCCACACCACTTTTTCTGTGGTTCTGGTTTTTTTATAGCAGCTTTGAGAATCTCCTGCAACTACAAGTCGCTCAAAAACGGCAATCTGTGGTCGGTTATGGCGCACGTCAGTCAGATTCACCCTTTTTGCCAAAGCAACGAAAGCCACCAGCCTCTCTGACTACAGACTGAAGTGGCTGATGAGGTGGGTTTGGTGGGTTTTAGCAGGAAAAACAGAAATATGCAGGGCAGCTACTCCCACGATCAGGGCTGAGATCCGCTGCTCCAGATCCAGAAACAAAGGTTTTTCATCCAGTCTTTATGTCGGTAAGGTAGATTCCCTCGGGATAAAAGCAGATGACTTACATAAAAGAATGACTCTCGAAACTCGAGACGTCAAGTCTGTTATTCAGTAACTTAATGTTGGTATCAATACGTACTTTTTAGGTCAACAGGTGGCCGAATCGCTTATGGTTTAGTGTCGACACAAAATAATTTTTGGGGAAGATTATTGATAAAAAGCATCATGTTATCCTTCCATCTATTTTCTTATCTAACTGTCTCACAGATAGATAGATAGATAGATAGATAGATAGATAGATACTGATAGACAGATAGAGAGACAGATAAACATAAATAGACAAACAAACAGACAGAAAAATAATGACACAGATAGATAGATAGATAGATAGATAGATAGATAGATAGATCAGACAGACAGACAGATAACCAATCTGTCTATCTGTCCGTGTACTTACGTGTCTCCGTCCTCCGACACGAAGCTCAGAGTCCTCCAGAGCTCCTCACTCATCTGCTCCTCTTCCCCGGCTCTCTCTCCTCCTCCTCCCGCTGTCCCCTCTCTCTCCTCGGCCTCCCCCAGCAGCACGGTTCTGATCCCGGCCGACAGACTCTCCACCGCCGCCTCGTCTGTTATGGAGTCCCCGATAGCGGAGTCCAGCCTTTCCCCTCCGCCCAGAGACATGCACTCCCCGGTCTGGCTCTCCGTGGCTCCTCCGCAGTCCAGCGGGAAACCGCGGGTCCACGGCCGCTCCGGGACGCTCTCGCTTTCGGCGTCGAGGAACGAGTCCAGCCCGCTGTCGCACCAGTCCTCAGGGTGGATCTCCGAGCGTCCCTGCTCGGCTCCAGGCCGGCCATCCTGCTTTCCGCAACCGCTCTGGAGATCCTGGGAGAACCGCTGATGTGCCCACTCCATTTATTACCATTTAGGAAGCTGTAAAAAGCGCCAGTGCGTTGTTATTCCAGCCGCCTGCTTCGCTCCCCGTCGCAACGGCCAACGGACGAACTCGTTTACTTACGTTATAACGGAAAGCGCTGCTAGCCACGCAGCTAACGAGCTAATCGGCTAACCCGAGATTCAGCTTAGCTTCGCCTCTAGAGGACCGTTTTGTTTTCGGGGCCTTGATCAAATCCCCTCACCACAACAACACCAGGCGCCGTCGCCCCGCCATTAAATCCCGTTTCCATGTCCGTGTCTGCACCATTTTTAGAAAACAAACCAGTTTTTTTTTAAAGCACGGCTCGCACGACTGGCCACCCTCCGAGCTTCCAGAAAAAACCTCTCGCAATTGGCTGCCCGTGTAGGTGATTTCCAGGGGAATTCCCAGCCCGGACCAGCTCGTTTGGGGATTTAGTTTCAAGTGCGTCTCATTTGGCTCCCTACTCCCTACACCCTACACCCTACTCCCTACATAGTGCACTAGCGTAAGGTCGCCTAGTAACGGCCCGCTGGTGGCGCTAACGTTGGCTAAATTATGTAGTTTTTAAAGGTTTAGTTAATATATGGCACAAATTTAGACGCTCCTGTCTACTAAAACTTTTTAAAGGGGGAATTACTCCTATTATTTCCTAATTTTGGATAATAAAATCATTAAACTAATTCATTGCGATGGGTTTGTTGTGATGACCTGTTCTAGAGAAGCTTACCAGCTAGCTAGCTATGTCAGAATTGTTTACAGTGGTTGTAACAGTTTTGAGATCAGATTTTAACCTAAAACATATTTTTTTATTTCATTTATGGCAGATAGATACATATCAGGTGTTGTAAGGTCAAACAGTACAACAACAAAAACGTTTTTCCCCCAAGGTGTGTATTAGTGCACATGGCATGGGCACAACTGTGAAGGCACCATTAATGCTGAACAATATATATATGTTTTGGCAACATCTGCTGCCATCCAGATGACGTCTTTTTTCAAGGCAGGCCTTGATTATCTCAGCAAGACAATGCCAAACCACATTCTGCATGTATTTCAACAGCATTGCTCTGTACTAAAAGAGTCCGGGTGCTAAACTGGGCTGCCTGCAGTCCCGACCTGTCACCACTGAAAACATCTGGAGGGTTATGAAATGAAAAATACGACAAATGAGCCCAAGAATGAGCAGCTGAAATCCTGTATCAAATAAGAACAAGAAAACGTTTCACTTTCAAAACTACAGCAGTGTCTCTTTCAGTTAACAACACGCTTACAGAGTGTTGTTAAAGCAGAGGTGATGACACAGTGGTAAACAGGCCCCCCTGTCGCTTTTTTGGAACATGTTGTTGGCATCAAATTCAAAATGGGCATATAGTTTCCAAAAACAATGACATTTTCTCAGTTTCATCATTTGATATGTTGTCTTTGGAGTATTTTCCTTTAAAAATATGGTTTACATGATTTGCAGATCATTGCATTCTATTTTTATTTACATTCTGCACAGCATCCCAACTTTTTTTGGAAATAGGGTTGTATAATAGGAAGTCATCTGAAATTTAGCCACAGCGGTAGACATCTGAAAGCAAGTACACTAAACGATACAAGGTGTTTTTTGGAAACCCAACACCCGAGGCAAAGTGTATTTATGCAGTCTTTATTTAAGGCCTCTTTTCTGGGACTCCTCTAAGGGGACACTGGGATGCCAGGCTATAACCCTGTAGTCCAGCTTGGAGTCAAGTTCTCTTGGAAGCAAAGTTGGAAAATTAAACTGTTGCTAATCAGAGATGAACATTAATAACATCCCTTTGAAATTTGTTAGGGAAGAGGGGGGCACAGCCTAACACATTTTGGTTTTTGTTGAATAAAATATTTAAGTTGGAATAATCATATTTTTATACAAGCAACATCTACATCTCTGCTACAAACAAACACTGGAACTTTGTTTGTAGCCCCTGCTGTTCATGTACCGTTCCACCCAAAATGACGGGAAGCACAATGTTACCGTTTACCCCATGGGTGGGTTGACTGTATCAGACGGAGGGTCGGTTTAACCCTTGAAAAGTCTGATGAATTAGTGTAAAGTCAATTTAATATATTTCTATGTTGTAAGAAACAAATATATTTTCGAACCATACCGCATAATATGTTAGACAGACAGCTTAATTGATAGATACACAAACACACATAAAATTCTATATGAACTGTCTGTCAAGCAATGACAAATTTATTTTTTGTCCAGTGAAGGACAGCAAATAAAAAACATCACACATCAGTAAAATATGGAACTACAGCTTTACCAACTGTTGATGTCAATTTCATTGATATACTTATTAAAAGAAAAATACAAACATATAAAAAATACTAATAAAGTGAATCCCTGAAGAAAATAGACAAACTTTACTTTGTCTTTGTTTACTAAAGGTGGCTTAGCTGTAACGCTGTGTAACAGCTAATCCCGCTGTACAGCCTAACTAGCGCTTGCTGTGCTTGTGGCCAATAAAATGGTGATTAAAGTAATATAGGGTTGTATTTTTGTGATTTACACAAAATACAAAATTTACCTGAATTTTGGCTAGGAAATGTGGTAATGTGGTCAGACGCTCACGCTGCTTGACCTTCTTCTAAAAGGTCAGTGTTAATTTGTGCCCTCGTTAGGTTGCTCCCCGCACTTCACTACTAAATGTATTAGATTAGATTAAATGATCCTTATTAGTTCCACAGTGGGGAAATTCCACCTCTGCATTTAACCCATCCGTGCAGTGAAACACCACATACACACTAGTGAATGCACACACACACAGGGGGGCAGTGAGCGCACTTGCCTGGATTGGTGGGCAGCCCTATCCATGGCACCCGGGGAGCAGTTGGTGGTTAGGTGCCTTGCTCAAGGGCACTTCAGTCATGTCAACTCAGGGGATCAAACCAGCGCACCAGTCCACAACTGCCTACTTGATAAAACATTCAAGAAGCCCTGAATTAGTGAACTGGAGCAGTGCTGTCAGGCTGTCAGCATTATAAAACAACAAAATGACCTTTTCTACAGTTAGAACTGAAAGCTGATGGTGTGATTCTGTCCTTCACACATGGAAACATAACAGGCCCCAACTGGTCATTTTATGTGGTCACATTTACACTTTACCACTGATAATAAGGCTAGAAAGTTTAGGGTGATCAACTACAGTAGTTTTTATTTGTTAAACCTCTAACCTCTCCTTACCTGATACAGTTAAACAGGTTGTTTTTGTTACTGTGCCTTTAAGACTGATATATGTAGATGACTTCTGCTCTGATTGGCAGTCGTGCTTTGCCTCATTCAAAAAGCAGTTCAGGCTGAAACACTCCTTATACCTTCAGAGTGAATGGGAGGGGCTAAACTACTCAGCTGTGGAAAGCTGAAAAGACAGGTATGTGTAAACTGTTTTGGTTTTTTTGACATCACAAAAACAGTGAATACAAAACTGGCTGTTTTTGTAACTTAGTTCCTGTACATGAACAGCACATCAAACGCTTTTATTTTGTAAAACAAGTGAGAAAATGCAGGTTTTAGGGTCCCTTTAAAAACCGACACACATAAAAATGGAAAACTAGTAAATACATGTTAATAAAATGTGTTTTTGGTCTTTGCTTTAGTCTTATTTAAGTTTTCAAAGTGTTTTAAGAAATAACAGCAGTTATATTAATATTTATAATATACATATATTAGTGCTTATATATTATATATTACATGTGTGTGTGTGTGTGTTGTGTGTGTGTGTGTGTGTGTGTTAAATTTGTGACTCTGCTCCATGTACCTACGATATTCACCACCAGGTGGCAGTGCAGACACGTTTAAATCTTTCGGTCTCTTTCACACAAAGAAATGTCCTCTCATCAGTCCCTGATGATGTCATAGTTCAGCTCTTCTTCAGGACCATCTGCACCCTTTCGTTTTGGACGCAGTGCAACACTTTCCCACAAGTACTCAGGATAGTAGTTAATATCTTTCAGTTTTAGTCAGGATCGGTTCAGTGGTGTCTGGATTTCTGACCCTTTTAGAGAGAACGCTGTGATTTTGTGATTTAAGAGCAGGACAACAAGCCTGAAGTTACCATGGTGATTCCGCTGGTCAGAGGAGTGTATACTAAGGATTGGACAAAATTACTTGCTTTAATGATAAACCATAGTATGAAATCCAGTGATAATCATACTGTTCAAGATGGGAATAATTCTAGTAACTGTGTATGAAAACAGTTAGAATCTAAGTACTGGAGCTGGTTTTTCAGATCACGTCATCCATCTTTAGATACTAGTGTCACACATGCAGGCGCAAAAAGAAGGTCCAGCTCGATGTTCAGGTTTCAAATGCAAAATCAGAATTTTACTGATGAAGATATGATGACAACAGTAGATAATTCCTCTTTGAAGCTCATTCACAAACATCAGATTCATCCACTCAGGGAAGAGGACCAAAGCACCCCTGCAACAAAGTGTTCTACTGCAGGGTTTCTCAACCTGTTGGCTGTGAAGCACCCTGTAGCGGTCTGTGGGCCTGTACTCAGGGGGAGACAGTAGTTCGTACTGGGCTGGTAGAGACGTATGCATGAAAAATCGGGGTCGCAGGCTAATTAAAGAACATCAGTCTGAGACAACACAGCCGCCGGCGCACAGTGCAGACAGTTAGCCAGAGATGGAGAGGCTCCTCAGGGCGCCTTCACAACTCCTTTGTTGACCTATCAAACTTTTTTCTTTAGTTCGCTCCGTTTAGACGTGTGCCAACACTCCACCTGTATTCAGGTAAAAAACAGCTGAACAGGTCCGGAAGAAACCCGTGAGTCTCGGTCCGCTTCAAACTGAGCCCTGTTCAGTTCACTGCTGGTGGGACGCATTTTTTGATGAAACGAGGGAATCAATCAATAGAGCTGGCTTTCCTCTCACCAGCCCGACTGCATACTGTCAGCATAATCTGCCTGATTTTGATCTTGATCTGATTTAGAGGTTTTCAGTGTGAGCAATTAAATAATATATATACAGGATGATTCAAAAAGATTCATCTGATTTCAAAATGATTTATTTCACTTGTAAATCATTACAGAACAATGCAGTGAACTGTAAATGGTTTGAATGAGCATAAAGTTTATTATGTCATTCTACAAGTATGATTGGAGTATCAAGTATTATTGGAGATCATATATATATATATATACATCTGTCTATTATCTATATTATCTATTATCTATATTATCTCCAATAATACTTGGTCTAAAGGAAATCATGATGGGACATCTTCACACCGTCCCATTTAGCATGAGCTAACAAATGAGTGAGAAAGGCAGAGAGTGAATAAGAAAATATAGAAGGGAGAGAGAAGATACTACTGGGAATCATTTAAGGGTGTTTTGAAGGTGAGAGTGTGTGGATGTATGTGTGAGTGTGTGTGTGTGTGTGTGTGTGTGTGTGTGTGTGTGTGTGTAAGGGGGAAAGGGAGAGA